AAAAAAAATTATGTCGTCTTACTCTTTTGATATAACATTTCTCTTTTCATTCATTTTTTCATCTTCCTGTCTCTCTGTCTCTATCTCTCTCTCTCTCTTCTCTTTATCTCTTTCACTCACCACTCTTCTTTCTCTGTCTGTCTGTTTCTCTCTCTCATTTTCTCTCTGTGTCTCTCGCCTATCTCTCTTCTCTCTATCTCTCTCATCTGTTTTCTCTCTCTGTCTCTCTCGCTCATCTTTCTTCTCTCTATCTCTCTCATTTATTTTCTCTCTCTCTCTTATCTTTCTATCTTTCTCGTTCATTTCTCTTCTCTCTCTGTCTTTCTCTTTTTTGGTGTCTCTCTCTCTCTCGCTCATCTCTTTTCGCTCTATTTATCTCTCTTTTTGTCTATCTCTCGCTCATCTGTTGTTTCTCTCTCTTTTTCTATCTTTTCCTCTATCTCTCTCTCTCTCTCTCTCTCTCTCTTTCTCTCTCTATCTCTTTTTCTGTCTATCATCTGTTGTTTCTCTATCTTTTTCTATCTTTTCCTCTATCTCTCTCTTTCTCTCTCTCTCTCTTTCTCTCTCTATCTCTTTTTCTGTCTATCTCTCTCTCCTTGTCTCTCTCACACTCGTCACTCTTCTCTCTCTCTCTCTACTTGTATATTTGTCTATTTCTCTCTCACTATGTTCGTCTTGCTCACTCTCTTACTCCCATCTTGTCTATTTATCGAGCTCCTTCTCGATTTATCGATCCACTATAAGAAAATACACTTTTAGCAACCACTTTGTCTATCTCTCCCTCTCGCTCATCACTCTATCTCTGTCTCTCTCTCTCTCTCTCTCTCTCTCTCTCTCTCTATCTCTCTTCTTTATCTGTCTCTCACAAAATTAAAATATTTTTAAAATATTTAAATATTTAAAATATTTAAAAAATTGATTTGAATTAAGTTTTGAAAAGAGTTCTCTTTCTTACTCATCACTCTTCTCTGTCTGTCTGTCTGTTTGTCTCTCTTTTTCTCTGTGTCTCTCGTCCATCTCTCTTCTCTCTATCTCTTTCATCTATCTTCTCTCTCTGTCTCTCTCTCCTTTTTTTCTCTCTCGCTCATCTCTTTCTGTCTCTCTCTCGTTTATCTCTTTTCGCTCTTTTTTTTTCTCTTTCTGTCTCTCTATTTGTCTATATCTTGTCACCAATTTTTTCATCTTTTTCTCTCTATTTTCTTTCTCTCTCTCATTCATCACTCTCCTCTCTCTGTCTGTCTATTTGTCTCTCTCTTTCTCTCTCTGTCTTTCATTCATCTATCTCTTCTCTCATCTCTTTTCTCTCTCTCTCTCTCTCTGTGTGTGTGTGTATGTGTGTGTGTGCCTCTCATTCATCTCTCTCTCTCACCACTCATCTCCTCTACCACCTTCACCACTACTGCAAACGCCATTTCACTACCACCACTACCACCACGGTCGCCATTTCACCTCTACGACTACCATTACTACTACCATCGCCACCACTTCACTACCACCACTACCACTACTACTACTACCTTTACCTCTCTTTTACCCCTGCTACTCCATCTACTCTACTACTACCACAAATTTACCACTAATCTCCTTTGTCATCACCACCACCACCACCACCACCACCATCATCTCTTATCCACCACCTTCACCACTACTGTCGGTTCCTCTTCTCTACCACAAAATATTACCTCTCTTCTCTCTTTCACTCATCACTCTTCTCTGTCTGTCAGTCTTTGTCTTTGTCTCTTTCTCTTTCTCTCTCTCTCTTTGTCTCTCGCTCATCTCTCTTCTCTCTATATCTCTCATCTCTCTATCTCTCTTCTCTCTTGCTCATTTATCTTCTCTCTATCTCTCTATCCGTCTCTCTCGCTCATCTTTCTTCTCTTTTCGTCTCTCTCTTTTTCTATGTCTTTCTCTCGATCATCTTTTTTTGCTCTCTTTCTCTCTCACTCTGTCTATCCCTCACTCATCTGTTGTTTCTCTTATTTTTCTATATGTCTCTCTCTATCTGTTTCTCTCTCTGTCTCCCTATATCTTTCTCTATATCTCTTTCTCTCTTTGTCTCTCTCTCACTTATCACTCTTCTCTCTCTCTCTTTCTCTCTCTATGTCTGTTTGTCTGTCTTTCGCTCTTCTCTCTCTCTCTCTCTCTTTCTCTCTATGTGTCTGTTTGTCTGCTTGTCTCTCTCTCCCATTGTGTTCACCTTGCTCACTCTCTCCCTCATCTCTTCTCTATTTATTGAGCTCTCCACTACAAGAAAATGCACTTTTAGCGACCACTTTATCCTCTCTCACTCATCACTTTGTCTCTGTCTATCTGGCTGTCTCTCTTTCTCTCTCTCTATCTCTCTTCTCTATCTGTCTCTCACTCATCTCTCTCTCACCACCCATCTTCTCTACCACATTCACCACTACTAAAAAATTAACTTTATTTTAATGGAAAATATTATCCCTACTTCTACCAAATAAAAAAATAATAATAATTTTATATTCATTAAAATAAATATGAAACAAATAAATTTTTAACCTTACTAAATGAAAAAATAAAAATAAAAATTCATTAACTATAAAAAAATTATTTTAATAAAAAATAATTTTTTTAGCAATGACATCCTCTGTTGCAAAAAAAAAAATCATTTTATTATTTAAATATTTATTTGTAATGAAAATAAAAATAAAAAAAATCCAAAAAAATTTCCCCCCCCCCTCTTTTCATTCCCGCCCGGTTCCCCCCCTCCCTCTTTCCATTCCCGCTCCCCCCTTCCCAAAAACCCAAAATCCCCAATCTGTTTCTTGTTTTCCATTCCCGCTCCCTCCTCCCCAAAAAAATTCAAAATCCCCAATCTGTTCAACCAAAATCCCCAATCGGGTTCTCCCCCAAAACCCCAACCTCTTCAACCAAAATCCCCCCCGAAAAACCCAAAATCCCCAATCTCTCCTTCCGTTTATCTCTCTACCCATTTGTCTCTCTAGGTTTTAGGGTTTTGAGTGTGAGAGAGATGGGGCAACAGTCTTTGATCTACAGCTTCGTGGCTAAAGGAACAGTGGTTCTTGCCGAACCCATACGTTTCTCATCCGCCCCTTCCTTCTTCAACTACCAAATCCACGGCCTTCTTAAACTCTCACAAATGGGTACGTCTCTCTCTCTCTCTCTCTCTCTCTCTCTCTCTTCCAAAACCCTAATCTTTTCATTTTTTATGGTTTATTTTTGTAAAATGAACTACTTTTTGGTTTGGATATGTTGATTTCAGGCATGTTCCGGTGCGGTTCACTGCCAGTTGATGGATGCGGCTCATCCCGGAATCGTGCCAATGCACAAAGTCAACTAGGGTTTTAATTCATATAACTGAAAACTCTGACAATTTTATATGCATTTAATGTATTTATACTTAAACTGTTTTCTATTTAACATTTTTTGTTCCACAAACTTCAATCTTTATGGTTTTTCTCTAAATTTTGATGCCATTGATTTTTCCTTTAGTCGTTAAAATTTGAATCCGAACCAAGTATAGTCGGTGAAAAATAGCCAAAATGGGGCTTTCTTTTTTTATGGACTTCTTGAATCGTTTTTAAACAGTGATTTTTGATCTTCTGAGCTAATGTGAACTGGGTATCCTTCTGATGAGCTGCACCAAACAAACCCATTGTAATTCTAAGTTGTTGAAACTAATTAAAGTAGTGTAATTATGGGATCACGGCAACGTTTATCATTAGTCAAGGCTTGGGGCCCAAATAGGATTATAGTTCTTGGAGCCATTGGAATCTGTACATTTCAACCCTGTTTCTTTCCTCTATGAATTTGTCTGAGAATTATGTGCTTTCTTGTTTATTCTGCAAAACCCATAGAGAAATGTAGTCCGTCTGGCGTAATTGGGTCTTTGAAGAAGATGGTTCATCGTACACAAATCTTTAATAGCAGTTGACATTTGTATGTTTATTTTTGCAATTAAACTCAAAGGAACTACTTGGTCATGGAGAGAGAACAATAATTAACTAAAACTTTGGTAGATATTAATTTTTTTACAAACTTATATAGCATGCAAAATAAAACTGTTGTGTGTAAAATGGGACTTGTTGATTATTTGTGTTAGTTTTTAGGTTTATATGTATTATTGGAGTAATATGATTGTCTAGTATTTGGTGTAGCTTATTATAAATTAAAAGTTAATAATTAGGAAATAGAAATCAAAAGCACCAATCTTCCAACTAATCAATTTTTTTCCAATTATTTAAACTACTTATGTCTAATAAGATGTAAGTAAAAATGCACCAAACAGTGTGGCTCAGACTCCCAGAATAATATATATATATATATATAAGCAATTTTGATGAGCTGCACCAAACAAACCCATTGTAATTCTAGTGATTAAATTATAACTTGATAACTTTCCACATCAGTTTGTAAAATAAACTTGTAAATTTTGTTTATTTATATAGCATTGCTCTTAAGTACCTCATCAATTTCCACTACAAAGTTTCATCATAAACAATTACATAAAGTCAAAGTCCACTTGGGTTGTTAGTATAGAGTTTGTGTGCTTGACAAATTTTTTTTTTCCCTTCTTTTGGGGTGAGTAAATATAGTTTGTACTCCCTTTGAATTAGTATATATAAGATCTAAACATATAAAACCTCTTCTCAATGATCACCTATTGTTTTAATCAAGCGAAACTGTTGTCACCTTCTTAATAAATAAAGTTTACATTCAAGTCTCTAATAATATACATTGTTGGGTTTTGACAATTAGCAAGGATACACAAAGAAATTGATCACAAAAGACTAACCTAATTAAAATTAATATATACTTTTGAACATGAATGTAGCTACTAGGAAGGGCATTAAAATTAATATATACATTGTTATACTCTTCCTTAAATTGATCACAAAAGACTAACCTAATTAAAATTAATATATACTTTTGAACATGAATGTAGCTACTAGGAAGGGCATTAAAATTAATATATACATTGTTATACTCTTCCTTAAATTGATCACAAAAGACTAACCTAATTAAAATTAATATATACTTTTGAACATGAATGTAGCTACTAGGAAGGGCATTAAAATTAATATATACATTGTTATACTCTTCCTTAAATTGATCACAAAAGACTAACCTAATTAAAATTAATATATACTTTTGAACATGAATGTAGCTACTAGGAAGGGCATTAAAATTAATATATACATTGTTATACTCTTCCTTAAATTGATCACAAAAGACTAACCTAATTAAAATTAATATATACTTTTGAACATGAATGTAGCTACTAGGAAGGGCATTAAAATTAATATATACATTGTTATACTCTTCCTTAAATTGATCACAAAAGACTAACCTAATTAAAATTAATATATACTTTTGAACATGAATGTAGCTACTAGGAAGGGCATTAAAATTAATATATACATTGTTATACTCTTCCTTAAATTGATCACAAAAGACTAACCTAATTAAAATTAATATATACTTTTGAACATGAATGTAGCTACTAGGAAGGGCATTAAAATTAATATATACATTGTTATACTCTTCCTTAAATTGATCACAAAAGACTAACCTAATTAAAATTAATATATACTTTTGAACATGAATGTAGCTACTAGGAAGGGCATTAAAATTAATATATACATTGTTATACTCTTCCTTAAATTGATCACAAAAGACTAACCTAATTAAAAAAATCTGCCATTACTCTTCCTTATTTGTTGATTTGTCACCATGGAATGAGACTGTTGTGTGAAGATAGCTTGTTATATTAGAAGAAAAATGCTACTTCCATTTACTTTTGAACTATGGAGACAACATCAATTGTTTAATTGTGAAATTGATGGTAAAATGATTTTGATCTCACTCCCATTTGGAAATCTGTTTATATGGCATTGCCTTTCAGGTTTCATAGGTCTCTTGTTTTTCCATATTTTTTGAATAGCAGATTTTGGAATATGAGTCTACCTTCATAGAACAGTGTCATGCACCACTCACTTTAATTTAACATTGTCCAATAATTTCTTTTCCATTTAAATGATTTTCTTTTAAAGTTGCCACTTCTCTTTGCATTGTATGAGTAGTTATTCTCACTATTTTAAACTTACCATCAACCTCTCTTTTAGTTATACTCCACCCTCTTGTAATTCCACAAAAAAGTGTGTATTCAAATTAAAATTCTTTCCCCCCCCCCTTTTTTTTTTTACTTTTGGGTACGCAAACCTGCTTGAGCTTTTTTGTCTAAAAATTCTTACTCCTTCATAATTTTTGAAAAGTATGTGCTTAAATCACTTGAGCCTTTGCTTTATGACTACGCGTTCACATTGATCACCTGAGGCTTTCTAAAGTGTCATACGGTTCACACTTATTGTCCTCTTTGGTGTGCTTTATAAGGTTGTTGTAACTTTTTATGCACTTTCTGTTTATAATCTATGCGACAAAAATAATTTACATATGTTAAGAAAAAAAATTATTATTTAAAAATTAGGAGAGAGGTATATTTAAGTTTTGCTTCTTGATTATTAACTTTTGGGTTGAAAAATATAGATCAGGCCCAATGAATTGGGTCACACATAATTGAATTTTTGGCTCCAATAACTTTTTCTTTTTTTTTATTTTGATTTTTTTTTTCTAAGTTGTTGAAACTAATTAAAGTAGTGTTAGCCTGTTGTGTTTAAGAAGCACAAAACAAAGAGGGCTATAGAGATTTTTGTGACAGGGAATGGGGATAGGGAAATGGGTTTGTTTTATTATTTTTTATGTTTAGAAATTATTAATTACAATTGGATTGATTGAAGGAACTTATCTCTCAATTTTCACTCATCATCAGTCATATGAAAATATCACTGTCTTTCATTATGTATTAATTACTTGATTGAAGGTCTTTGACAATTTTAGTAATATATTAGCTCTATAATGTCATTAAGAGTTTGGGATATATTGATTTCTGTATTTTTCTTGAATTAATTGAGACCCGGACAAGAACAGGGTTATGCAGTTTTGACTTTTATTTCCAAAAACCAAAAAGTGGCAGCTGATATATTTATATGCAAACGGTAGCTAAAGAGTCATGTAATCATAATAATTGTGCAGTTAGTAATGCTATTGTGGAGTTACTTTGCTGTTGTCTTTACCGATCCGGGCAGTGTGCCACCTAATTGGAGGCCTGCGTCGGATAAGGAGAGAGGTGAGACCGATCCATTGACTGAGGCAGAATTGGGTGGTATGTCAGCAAACCCAGTGAATCCAAGGATCCGTTATTGTCGGAAGTGCAACCAGCCGAAACCACCTCGGTGCCATCATTGTTCTATTTGTGAGTTCGTATACCCAATTCTTCTTGAGACTGTTTTCTTTTCCAATTGTTTCAGAGAAAATAAATCAGATATATTACTCTCTTTTTTTCTGTATATTATTTTCAGGTGGGAGGTGTGTGCTGAAAATGGACCATCATTGTGTGTGGGTTGTCAATTGTGTGGGGGCATTGAACTACAAGTATTTTCTTCTTTTCGATCGAACATTTCCAACTTCACCTATTATAGCTGCGATGATTCAGTTTTCCACCCTAGCTGTATGTTTAAGTCGAGGAACTCCTGCACGGATTGATAGGAGCGAACAGGAGCTGATGCCCCTTGGAGCACTCCTTTGGACTTGACCTAACCTGGAGGATGGTTCTGGTAACCACTTTCTTGGGATGGTCCGCGCCTTTCCTTGATTTTGTATTCCGTTATCCAAATTGGCAGATCTCATCATTATATCTCATTGTTGCTGGAGTAGGTGCAGCCTGTGTCATCTGATAACCACAGTTACCTAGATCCATTAAAAGTGAAGTTGCAGGTTATAGCTCTCATAAAGCGTCCTCTACTAGTGGCTCTGAATACTCCTAGAAAAAATACCTTGCATCACTTCCGGGAGCGTCAATATTTGCCCAAGGCCCGCTCTAAAGATAGTAACCACTTTACTCCCAAAGTTTTAAGATTTTACCATTAGGGTTTCAAACCCTTCGCACAATTCATATGACGTTTTTGTAAAGTGCCTGACGTCCCAAATACCAACGCAGATCTTATGGACATAAACAGCAGTATTAAGGCCTCAGCCCCAAAACTCTAGGAGTGTTCTGCTTACTAAGGAGCATGACCCTAGCCATTTCTTGAACAACCCTGGTTCTTCCCTCTCAACCAACTCCATTTTTGTGTGGCAGTAATCAGAGCAAGAAAATTCAATGGCTTGAATCTCACATGCCATATCACAAAACATCCGAAAAATGAAAACTAATTTTCAAAACTCATCACGACCATATGATCAGTCGGCATTCTTATGATACGGGCCCAATCTGAAAACACCCCTTCAGTTTGGATTTTAAACGACTTAAGGCCTGGAAAAGCATCAAATCGTATCAATTTATTCCTTCAAAAAAATTTACCAAGAAAATTCGTAGGAAACATTCTATCAACAGTTAAAAAAATGTATTCTTGACCTCCGACTGCTTTCAGTCGAGTAGGACCATTTAAATCCATTGAACCAATTCAAGAGACGTTTGGTTTAAAGCTGTTCACCTTTTTAGGAGACGAGCACGGGTTTGGACTTGCCAAGCTGACATGGTCCACACACATGCTCAAATTCTTACCTAGTTAGAAATTTCCTCTCACAAGCTCTTGTTGTGCGATCTTAGTTGTTCTTTGAAATTCTATGTGACCTAATCTTTTATGCACAGGATCAATTGTTACTTACTGTGCCAGTAATGACAAGGTAAACTTCATTAAGTCGTAAGAACATAGCAGTTATCAGATGCTATGGGCGACTACCCCATGGTAAACTTTAGTATTTCCCTTTTTATCCATTACATTTCACATTATCTTTTCGGAAAAGATCAATACATTCCCATGGATGCGAGATCACATAATTGATAACGCTCAAAGTATTAGCTTAACCGGCCTATCAACATAGTTAACGGCTATGTATTCTAGCTTGAGGAGAGACCAGCTCAACACTTATAGACACCACTTACCAATGACCTTTCTGAAGCTGCCGGCCATCTGCCACAACGTGACAATTATCCATCCTTTCATATATTTTCAAGAAGGTGAAGTAGATTTGAGTCACCGGACATATGACTTGAGAGCAGCCACACAGAACAACCGATACCTTAACACATGCGTAGTGGCGATGCTTAGGCAGGAGAACACATCGCCTGTGAGCAACAAAACAAAGTCACAATCCTCTTTTTCTAATCCAAAAACTTTTTAGGTTCTTTGGTGTTCGACCTAGACATGTAATGTCTGTCTCCTAAACCCAAAAAGTTATTAGAATTCTACCCTTTCGCCAACACCGCTACCCAACACTAGTTCCAAAACAATAAGTCTACGAATTGCCACTACCTACCACTCAGTGATGAGACAAATAAACAACAGTCATAATCCTCCTTTTTGTTGATCCCGTACGCTCTTTTGCTTGATTGAAGTGAAAGGCCACACCTGGCTCTATCTTCAGTTTCCTTTTGCTGAGTCTTCAATTCTGTGAGATAGAGGCCCATGTCCTTTGTGGAGACCGCTCCACCAATAGCTACCCTCTGTTTGTCCAGGCAACCGCACTTTGTTGAGACCGAGTAGTCTTTCTAGAGATTCCTGGAACCTTTGTTCCACATGGCAACTTGTTGCTCTCTAGCCAATACGGAGTTCTTCACTTTCTCCTGACTTGACTTCTGCTTCCCATGCAGCTTGTGACAAACTCAAGACTTTCAAGCTTTTCTCTATAATGCTGGAATACACCTTCAAAGTCATTCCTTTCAGTTTCACAGGATAGAAGTTTTTCACAATAAGTCCTTGCCTCAACTCTGATCTTGGATACACTTCTATTTCTGCTGTCAAAGTTTTCCTTTGAGCCGGACAATTCTCACTCTCACATATTCTTCAGCTTGGAGAGAGAGTTTGTCATTGGGTTTGCTTAGACAAATTCAGAGAATTACCTCGTACAGGTTTCTTCGTAAGGACTTGGGGTGTAGTTTTTCGCATTGATCTCATCCATGGTCTTTCAGATTGTTTTCATCCGATCCTCCTTTGCTTCCTTATCTCTGACTCATCCAATCAGCAACCAAGCAGGACAATCTGATGGAGGATTAATGCCTCTCAGGAATGCCCTCAGAATCATGTCATTCTAGCCTGGGTGGCCAGTAACAACCCTGTATATAATGCCTCCACGAATAATACACTCTCCAGAATGCCTCCTGCCGCTCCCTCCCAGCATAAAAATAATAAAAAAAAAAAAAAAAAAAAAAGAAAGCTATAAAAAATAAAAAAAAAATAATAAATAAAAAATAAAAAAATAAAAAAAAAAAAAAAAAGACGCCGACTACCTACTTATGCCAACGTTCCCCAGCGTTATATCCCGTGTTGACTCCGGTGCGACAAAGGCCTGGTAATTAGCCTGGCCGCCGCCAGACCGTCGCGTCCTAGCTGGACCACTGATATCACCTCATACTATGTATACGTAACGGTTAATACGGGCCAACCCCGGGCGGGGGACGGCGTACGCGCGTTCTACGCCACTAACACCTTAGTCCTGCCGGGCCACGACCCGACTAAGCCAAGAGGTACCCAGCGCTACATCTACGGCCGCTGGCAGACTACGAGCACTCTGCCACGGCTGCTCGCTGCTAAACGCCTGCCCGCCGCGGTGTCATGAAACAGCACACTGCAAGTGAGACCGGGCTACAATAACCGTCGCGACGGCCCTCTATGACATATGACTATAGCTGGCGTAATAGAGTTGCATAGACACTCGACCCGTCCAGTACAGCAGACTATCCATCTGCAGACCTATACAGCAAGCCGCGTATGCGCGGCAAAGGCACAGACAACAGCATACCTCCCGGATGCGAGTGACGCTCAGCGTATCTCATATCGCTCTCCGGAGCTGCCAGTACCCCAGAGATGCGGTGCCGTGCAGTACAGTGCGCACGGGCCGAATTTCAGCGCTCTCCGCCGGGCGCGCGGGCCCAATCAATCCCCGGGCACAGGCCGCGCGACCCGGCTATCGCGATGCGGCGACAGCCAGGCAGCCCACGCCTAGGGGCTAGAAGGGGTCTGGGAGCTGGTACTCGTGGCCGAATCATGCAACACCCCCACTGCCGCAACTCCACCCAATTGTCCCGCTACCCTGATCCGAATAGTGCGCCGTACTGCCGACCACCTCTTTGTGTTGGAGAGAATTCTGACGAGCCGACTCTTCATTCGTGGATCAATCTTTATTTATATTATAAAATCTTTGACAACTGGGTCTTCACTCACCAGTTGTGGTAATGGCCTAAAGAATACATGGA